ATTTTCATCTCTTCTCGAGATTAACGAAGTTCGGACGGACGGACAGACGGACGATAGTGAGAATGTATAGGTCTAAATTGCTCTAAATTGTTCTATTGTATGATTTATTTTCTATTTAATTTGACTTTATTAGTTTAAAAAAAGGGATCCTGAAGCATTGGTATGTTAGTTCTGTTACTTCTGTAAGTTTCCGTGTATAAGGGAATTAACAAATAGTCTTTTCAGTCTTTAATAGTTGGCTTCTATGCGTGGATAATCGCTGATGTCATAATCATTCAGCTGGAATAACAAAACACACATGAGTAAACATGTTCCTATTCACAAAATACATAAATGAATTTACAGGTGCGGAGCCTTGAGACACAGCACACACACACAAAAAAAATGATTTGTTAGGCTAGTGTAGTATTCGACTAGCCTTAAATAAGTACGTTTCACTGTCGAAGTATTTGTTTTTTAAGAGATGACGTGACTTTAGGTTCGTGTCGGAAGTTCTTGTATAGTTAATTGGAGTCTTTTGTCTCTAACGTTTTTATATATGGTCTCGGATTTCATTTATATAACTCCCTTCTCGAGATTGAGGAATGACAGATAAACAGACAAACGACAGGGATTTATAGGTCTACAATTTTGTCAAATTGTAGCCTAATAGTTATAAACAAATAACATAATAATAATGGAGGAATAGCCGGGTGGATAAAAGTACTAAACACTTGTCGCGGGTTCGGCATCGTGGTCTAGTCACGTGAGTTTTCGGTTTTTTTTCACGTTTGTAATATACTTAAATAGGGGTTAATTTCTCGTAGAAAGTCTTCCTCTTTCAACAGATCGCCCACGTATACAAACAAAGGAGCAGGAAGAAAAATTGCGTGTTTTAAGTCACTGCAAGTTTAGTTTTATTAAAAATATATGCTAAAAATCCCTTTAATCAAGTTTGTCTTCACTTTTTACCAGTATTATTAATTTAAGAATTAGTTATAAAAGGTTCCCTCCCCTTTATATCCTATAGAATTATACAAGTTTCCATTTTATTCAGGTTCCGTTTTAGACAGGTTTTACTATATATTTGATAATTTCGAAAATATCTAAACAAATTTGTAACAAAATATTTACTTTTTAGAATTTTTTTCTCCCTGTTATTAAGTTAATTTTCTTGACATTCTGGTCTAAACCAATATTCTTTACCGTCCAATAACTGAAGGGAGAGTCGATGTCGATAGTCATTGTCTTCCTCTAGATATTGTTAATGAAATAACGAAAAGATTCGAACTGACAGTAGACCTTTCATAGATAAAAAAAAGAAAGAAACAAAAAACAAAAAAATAAAAAAAAGACTCGTGCGGTGTTCGGTTAACTTTGACACAAAGTTTATCTGATTATAAGACAGTCGTCGAACACTACACGTCTGCATTTATCAGACATAATAAAAAATTTTTACCGTATGTATATAGATAAATCGGATTTATTAGAGTTAAAAATTATGTAATTAATTAATAATATTCAATAAAGTCTAGGAATAGTAGCAAATTCCTTAATTTGTTTCTAGTATAATAGGGTTTGTGTGAGGGAGTAGCCTGAATTCAGGTGTGGGTCTGTCATTTTATTACAATATAAGCCTTGTTTTTCTTGACATACTAGAAACAATATTTCCTTGGATGATAATAAATTAATATAGACGAAAAGGCAAAAAAAAAAAGAAAAGAACTTTTACTAATTGAGGGGTGGACCAAAAGTCAGTTAACCGAAATATATTTTATTTTAAAAACGTTTAAATTGTGTTGAATCAATAACAATGACGAGTAATTGTTACCAATCGATTTTAACCATTCTCGAAACACATGACAGTTAACTGAGTTTTGGATCATAATTAAGTTATTAATCAATTACACGCCTTAATAGCAGTCTTAATAATACAAAACGATTGTAAATTGTATAAATAAAGAGCAATGCCTTTTATTAAGTAGGTTAAATAATCAATCCCTATTTTACTAAGATAATAAGAGCGAAGAGCAATGAAACGAAAGATAATCTTTTATATACAGGGTGGACCAAAAGTCAGTCAACCGTTTTTATACAAATCAATAATTTAGAGATAAAATTAAGAGACCTTTATGCGCGTTAAGGAACCCATTCCTAGTTAATATTTATAAAGAATGGGTGAGTTACATCCCTATTGTGACCTGTTACGTGAACCCCCCCACATAGCTATAGGCAGTACCTTTACATTCTCAGCCACTCGGTTGACGATAATTCATCTTATAAATAAGTAAAAAAATTGTTAAAAATTAAATTTCGCTTAAAAATATCTACGGAAAATTTATTATAAATGAACAATTCGTAAATATAAAAAAAAAATAATAATAATAATAACCGAAATTATGTAATACACCTTAGGAAATTTAGTATACTAATATCGTGTCGCCATCTGTTGACAAATAATTAGATTAATTTACGGAAGGTATGTTACCCCTCCTTATTGTCACTGTCTATTGTGTAATATTTTGTTTTATTGTTAAGCTTGATAATTTTCGTATACGGAACAAATTAAGAGCCTTACTTTGTACGTTATTTGTTAAAAGTTAAAATATACGTTTAGGGTGGCCTGAAACTCGGTTAACCATTCATACTTTCCCTCTGTTATACAGGAGATCGGTCAAAAAATATGTCTCCTAGACGAAGATTTTTACATTTTGGACTCAGAGGATCTCGAAAAGTGGAGAGATTTAAAATATTTAGGGATGTTTTTTTTTCTTTTTATGTATGGAGGGCACGATTTTGTTCACTCTCTTTAAGACAGCAATTCAGTTATTTAATGGTTAAGTGATTTTCAGGCCATCTTGTATATCGAATTTTAAATTTCAGTTAGTACGCTTTGGGGAAAATAAAAGCTATGGCTTCGAAATTCCGTTTCTTTTTCATTCTTTGAACATTAAAAGGGACTATTCAAGTAGAAGGACGAGCGAAAATCGGATTGTCTTCTCTGGTGGAACTACTCTTCTGGATGACTTGCTTCAGTAGTAACTCGAGAAGTTTTGGAATAAATCTAAGTAAAATTAGTCAAGGTTACAAAAGTTAAATAGGGCCTCTTTCGACTTCTGAAGGCCCACTTACCATATCTAAGTCCGGGTATATTTTAAAAAAGGCATTAAATGTTCTGAGGCTTGAGGTTAGGTAACTATTAAGATTTCTATCTGAAACTTCATAAAAATTAAGATTTAACTGGATCCATTGTCTTCAATTCTTATCTGTAATTCAATACGTATGTACAGTAAAATCTGTGCAAAAAGGAATCTTAATATGATTGATGTACAGAGGCAAGACACTAAGTTACTAATTTGAGGTGGAGAGAATATATTTTAATTAATTTAATTAACTATCAACATTAAAAAGACATTTTCTTTTTGATATGTCAGGGCTTTTATCTCAGAATTATATTAAACCATAATTTTATTCAGTGTCGCGTTATAGCTTCGTGGGGACCGGGTAAATTTGAATGTTGGTGCTCCATGTACTGTACAGTGTTGATTCGAGAGAATTTTTTGAGTGAAATATTTTAAATTAATTTAAAGTAACATTCTTCATTCCCAAGATTAGATATATTATTTTATCTATAAAGATAAAATATTTGTATATTAAAGAAATTTGCACTTTGCATTGTTTCTTCAGTCTAAAATCCGTAAAAGTACAGGGTATTCCAAAATGAATGCTCCATTTTAAATTATTGTAATTTTATTAATTATTACACGTGAAGTGTGCGATGTACTGTACACTGATCGATAGAGTAATCGTTCGAATTTCGTCTCCCATCCGCATTCAAACGTCTTTCTGTCTACTGCCTGTATGAAGTACTGTAAACGAAAATGGAATCACTCATCATTGTGTAGGATGAGTAATCTGCAGGAGCTGTAGAATTGTGGCTGTTGTGGAAGAGGTGCTGTTTAAGAAGAATTTGATATCAGTCGGAGGTGCACACATTGAGAAGTTGCAATGGACAAATGTGAAACTTGGACAGTTTTCCAATGTTTTAATGTACTTTATAACGTTCTGGGATAATAATTAACTTAATTACAATAGTTTAAAGTTATAGCAATTCTTTATGGAAGATCCTGTATACAGGAAAGAATCCACGGAATGAATCTAGTGTAGTAAAAGGCGTTCAAATGGCATAAAGTGTTTGTTTTTAAATCACTTTATGAGATGGATTAGCGTAATGGTTTTTAAAAAATATTCGAATTTTTATAGTTGGTTTTGCGAATTTTCAGGAATTTTAATAAATTCTTTGCACCTGGGTATGCTGAGTGTATTAATGTACACTTTAATCAAAACAGTAAATAATTGAGACAAAAGAAGTAAGTAGTAATATGATGGACTTCATAGAAACCCAAACAAATTTTAATTAGGGGACCCCATGTACAGTGAAGTATTCATTTCAAACATTGTTTTCGGGTGAATTTATTGGGAAATCCCAGGTATCCTCGTTCGTTTTTTAACGCGACCTCTGATAGTTTGCAATCTAGGGTAGCCATATATGGCACAAATTTAAATTTTGATATTCTTACTATAGTAATGAGTTTATAAAAGATTGGTTTGGGCCACCTGTTCGTGAGGCACCAGGCGATTGCCCCCTTTTGCTCATAGGATAACACGCCAATGAAGAAGAGTGTATATATTTTATATTTATATCATCATCGAGTAAACAAAAGTCTACGAATAAATTCTGTGCTTTGAGAATTAGTTTCATTTGTCACAACAATTATTTATTTTCCGTTGGTCTTTCAACATAATTTAAAATAAATTTACTAACTGATTGAAATATAACTTAAGTATATCTTCAATAAGAAATATTTCATAAACAGCTTTTCTAAATAAATAATTACAAAATTATTTAATAATACATCACAATTCCATTGTTCCGTTGAAGTGAAAAGTAATTATAAAGAAATGTAATAATTTATAAATTGTTTTATTATAATATTCCTTCTTTCGAGTATAACAAAACATCACAGAGTGAGTATAATATGCTTAAAAACGACTTAAACGAGCATTATTAATTATGGATTTATCTTAATTAAGTATCACTGACTTTTAATTCACATTAATGATTATTAATTACTCCAATTTAGATAAGATCTATAAATATTACGTATGTTATTAATTTTCTTTTAAAATTACATGGAACGTTTCATACAAAAGTTCTTTTCGACACTTATATGATGGCTCATATTATATTAAAGAATTTATATTTATATATATTTAATTTACAGATCAAATGGCGAGTTACAAAAAATTAGGCGGTAGTTGTTCGAAGATAAATTTATCATCGACATTTGCCCCCGGAAATTGTTTAAAATCGTCAGATTCTTACGATACTTCCGTCTCTCGTCGCCAGTTTCTTAAAGATATTCACTTTTATAATAATTACGTAAAAGGTTGCAATGCCCTCAGTCGTATGATATTTTGTCAGGAGATCGATGAAATGAAATATGCTCAGTACAAGATGATACCTATCGTCAATGGTATCGTCGCTTATTATACTACGAAAATGAAAAATGCAATGTATTCGGGGATTTTGGGTATCACCAGCGGAGGGCAAAATATCCTTCAGAAGTCGATCGGATTTTGCAACAACACGAACGAAGCAACATCCACCAGTGTTGTCGACAAATTTAGATGTTTTTGTCGCAGTTTTATTGTTAAAACTGTAAATTGGTTAGAGCCCATTCGAGTATGCAAATCGGAAGATGCCATAAATGAAGCTGTGTGTGAGGAGGAGCATCGTGAAAATATTTCACTGGATAATGAAGGTTAGTCTCATTTTTAAGTCGTGGCTCTCTGAAAATTATACCTGTAACCTGCGTATGTAAATGTATATAATAGGGGCTCTTCTAGCCCCTTATTGCTGCTCCCTTATATCTGACCACTGCCTCCTTATTAGAGGTAAGGGTCCAATATTACACAGACTATTTTCATGAAAAATTTGTAAACAAAGTCCCAAAGATCAATGTGGGCGATCTGCCATAGAAAGTCCTTCAGGGAGGGACTCTCCAGGAGGAATTTCTAAGGGAAATTGGTTTCTATTTAAGTTATTAGATACAAAATATTTAAAAAGTAACATTATTTTTAACGATCGATATAATTTTTATTTACATTTTAAAGGTGTAACAAAATTATCCATGACTCCAGACGTTACCATTGATAAACACGAACAACATCAAGAGGAAATGTTGAATAGGATTCAATATCATATTTATAAATTAATCGATTACGTTACAGAAATAATTAAATCGAAGAACATTTCATTTTTTATATCCGGAAGTAAAGATATTGTCGACAAGCCACCAAATTTGCTAGAGTCGGCAGCACTGAGAGAAGAAGATATTGCAATTTCTACTTTGCACGGCATGCTTAGGGGCCTTTCAAAGAATATTAACTCTAAAAGGGAGAAAATTTTAAGAAAAGAGAAGAAAATTATTTAAAAATTTCTATATTTTATATTATACTTTTTAATTAAAATAACAATCGTTAGCAAAAAAAATAAAATTTGTTAATCGAATCTATTTATACGAATTATTGAATTTAATGTATAAGCATATACAAAACAAGATAAGGGGGCTGATATACCTTATCACAGGTTCTCGATTGTTGTGAAATAATAAACGTTTCTATCACGTGGCCAGTTATCTTTTTGCTTATTCCTGTGTTAGCTATGGGATGTTGCAAATGTAATTTGTATACTTACACAAATGTCGCCGGTGTTTTTGGTATTGTAAGTATATTTAACTTCATATTTTCGATATAATTTCTTATACAGTAAAAACTTGTCCAAAACGGAAACCTTCCTAAATGGGAAAATGATACGAAACGGAGCTATTTTCTGTGTTAAAAACAAAACGGAAGCCCGCTAAACCGGAAAAATATTCGTTACCGTACGAGTTTGGCTTAAGCAGGTTTTGATGTATTTATCTTAAGATTTGAATAATTTTTCGTATTTTATACACTCCCTAACAATATATAACAGCTTTAAATGCGTTAAAATTAAACTTGAAAGTGGATTTACTTATTAAATTTAAAGAACATAACAACCTTTATATTTAATTATTTCTTGATTTTGATATCTGTCAACTATGTCGAGTATTTTGATTATTCATCCTGTACTCGAGCTGTTTCTATTTACAAGTAAATAGATAAAGCTTTCTCCCTATGTAACTGTAGATATCCGCAACAATGGTTGATCTATGATCCAAATTTTTATGTTATTTACCATTCTAAAGTATTCTTCAATAATAATTTTTAAAGTATTCTGTAATTTACACCGTCGATTACACTTCTTATAACGGACAAGAGAAAGGACACTTTTGAAATTTGAATGGATGGGATAAGAATATTACAACGTATACACGAGAAAGTGATAAAGGGTATCTCAAATTCTATTGCTTAACTGATTATACATTAATTTCTGCTTGTATTGCTTAACAATTTAGCATGTTTATTATGTTTTCAAGAAGGTATCAACGCTAAAAATATAATATTTATATAATTTTTCTATTAAATATTATTATTTTTATAATTACTCCCAATTTGGACTTAATGGTGCAAACAAATCTTGAGCTGGATACATACTTTACAATGATTTTACAAGTGTATCAGTAACTATTTATCTTATAGATTATCCTTATTTCTATTTTATTCCACGTAAAATAATAAATTTGAACTGCTTAATTAAATATCCTATGTAATAGTTTGTCATACGTGACTGTAGAGTCTAGACAATAGAAACTTAAGATACTGGTAAATTCTTTATGCTATATTATGAAGGATAGAGATTACAGGTAATTAAATATGTCTACTTGGAAAATCAGGGGAAAAATTAAAGGAAAAAATTGGTATGGTATCAATAATTGGAGGCGAAATTGAGAGTACATTCGTTGTTCTATGTATGCAATGCTAAAATTAAATAGATAAGCAAACTGGAGAGTCTAATTAAGTGAAGGGTTTTCCGGATCGATATCTTGATAGTAATTTTTAAAAATAACTAAATTAGTCAATCCAGAAATTACTGGATACATTTTTAAAGTACACTTATGACTTTATAATACTCTTTTAGTTGAGTAAATAGGAATTATGATGAGAAAATGATGGACATCGTCAATAGAAATTTAATCGAATTTAGAATAATTAATTTGTAAAATGCAAAACTAACGTATTTTATTTTTTAAAAAAGTCAAAAATCATGGTAGAAATGCAACTGTTTTTTGGTGGAGCCTGTAATATTTGGTTCGATACACCCAAATAAAAAAACTTAAATTTTATATGATAATAGGGTAAGTTCTACCTTGTAAATTATTTAGAAATCAATTATTTGATGTTAACACAGATTATATTTAAAGAATTAATAGAGATAAACGTTACATAAATATATTTACTTGATTTAATTAGTTTCTTCCATCTTCTCTGTTCCTCATCTACACTTATAGTATCTGATAATAATAGAGACCTTAACGACCCTGCATACTTTAAACCTTAAAGACCTTGCTGTCTCCTGCTTTCATCTGAGTTGCAGGAACTGAAAGCATTTTTGGTTTTGGACTTTATATTGCACAAAACAATAAAACAAAATCTTATTTAGTACCATTAATAGTTGTATTATTACCCGATGCTCGATTCTATCTTTGATAACACTGCAATATATGTATGGAATAAGTGTATGGTTAGGTAAGTGGTCAATTTTCGTAATCCGGAATTTTCTGTAATGGCCGGATTAACGAAGCCACTGTATTAATACATGGACATGCCCAGGCAGTTGCCACAGTATGCATTATGTCACTGTTCTTCAACAATACGTCTTGTTCTATACCTGTATCTGTAAAGTCTTACCTGAAAAACAGCTGTGTTCTATATTTACTTAAAAGAATTGACAAGACGAAACTATAAAACGTCATCCCGTATTTTGAAATTAATAAAACATTGTAAAATATATTATTGTTTAGATAAAAATATACACGTTAATCTCTAAATTTACAGTTTTCATAGTCATAAATATCCACATATTTATCTGTGAATCAGATAATTTTCATACGCTTAATATAGATGCGTGTTTGATAAATTCCCACTGAAATCGCTAATTAAAATAGAACAAATTTGTTAATCTTTATAATACTTTTTACTAATTCAATAAATTAATATGTAATTAATTCTTTAATACGTAATCCACGTACTTGATGGATATTTATGCTGTAAATCTATGTTTTATGACAGCATTGAGGGAATATCCGATAAAAGGTCCAGTTTTACAGTTTATGTGATGGAAAGTATGGTGATCGGTCAAAAAAATTACCCACAAATTTTTAAATTTTTAAACTCGGATAATACTTGAAACATCGAGAAATATAGAAAAAATTGGGTTTTTTTATACGTATGGATGTTAGTGTGTGGGGGGCACGATTTTGTTCACCCAAGCTTAATAACTTCTGCCGAAAATTTCTGAGATTTTGCAGGGAGATTTGTGTATTAGGGGAATTAGTGATATTAAATTTTAATGGTTAAAGGTCAGGGGAGGGGAGATAGAGGAGTTCGTGTGTCATATCTCGAGTGGGATCGGATTTAATTAAGATTCTTTCTATTACTTATTAACATTTACATTTTTTGAAAACTCGTCTCTACCCTCGAAATTAAGCTTTTTGCCATTTTATAATAATTAATTATATAAAAAAACGCTTTTTAAAAAATATCATAACAGATGGCGCCACACGTAATTTTAAACATTTTTGCCGGGTAAGTTAAGCAACTGGTTGCTGAATTTTTTGTTTTATTCGAGAATTTATTGAATTAATCTATGATAATCCTAGACATTATCAGTGATTTAGTGTAAAATTCCTTTTAATATATTTAAAAGTTTCAGAAGATTGATTGTTTAACAATATTGTATTTTGAAATTTTATCTACAATATTCAAATAATTGACATAATATCTTTATACGTTTCATAAATCTCATAATAAAGATAACTAAGTAATTTTAAATAAGATAAAATGACTCATAAAAAAATAATATATATTCAAATATATATTTTTCCTGCAGATTTTATCAGTATACACCATAGCATGGACGACTTTCATAAGCTATGAGAAATTGTCTGGAAGATCGTACGTAACGGAAATATACGTGACAGAATCACCGAACGTAACGGAATTTAATGTAACAGAATCACCGGAAATAACAGAATCTACGTTTGTTTCGGAAGAGTCAAATGTAACGGACTCGACTAATGTAACAGAACCTTCGAAAATACAAAAAATCATTAATAAGTTTGATAATGATAACACTACAACAGCTTATAGTAAGTGCTATATCGTAACTATTTCGTCACAATTAGATTTAACTTTACAGTGTATAAGTAAATAATTAAATCAATATTTATATACTCATGCCCACGGGCATAGATTCATATGGAATAAAAAAGGTGTACCTTCCGCAATATTTTTGCACTCTTTCCATATACAGTAGATCCCCCTATAAGACGGTAGATACGTTCCGTTCTTTATGAATCAATTTTGTAGGAATCATAGTTTACGGACTACGGCTGTTTGAAAGGTTTTNATACTGTACACAACAGATTCAGGTCAATTTGACGTCATAATAATAATATTTCCTCGTTGAAAAAGATAAAAATTACGTCCAAATGTACAGTATTCAAGCAGAATGTACTTCTATTTTTTTTAATGTAAAAATCTTTGATATTTTGCACATATGGGTTGACCTTCACTAATTTGGCATCACTGAGCCTTGCACGTTGCAGGATTACTGATGATTAGGTCAGAATACACTTAACCAAACAGCTAACCAGTTCGTTCTATCTTTAAAACACACTGTAACTCAGTATACGCTGGTTAATGGGGGGAACTCAATAAAGAATTTGAGCCACCATCAAGATTTTCAAAGGTTATACCTTATTTGTTATGGACAACGAATTGTGTTTGCGCTTTACACCATGAAAAGATCTTCCTTGTATTCATTGAAGCCATGACTGAGGCTAAAGGTACACAGGTTATAATAAAAATGAACAAAAGACAAATAGAAAAACAAGCAGTGTTTGAAAATGCAGCAGCTATCACCAAACAGTAATTGCGGATTTGTGCGGTGACTATAGAAATTTGAAATCGCTCTCGTAAATTGGTGATGGTCAAGCTGTAATATATTCTTTTTTAATAGAAATTAAAGTTACTTAGCTGTAAAATATCGAAAGTATTTTCATGAGTTTGCTTAAAAATGTTTTTCTTTATAGTACTATTTATAACTGTAATAATCACCACATTCCTCCATATACTATGGCTGATATCATCGTTTATTTTGATTAGAGGAAACGCAGTAAGTGACGTTTAAATTGGTAAATTTTATATTTACGGCAATGTACTTTAAAAATTAATATTTTAACAGAAAAAATATCGGAAAATCCTCTGTTTATGGATCGTCATCGCATCGTTAATATTAATAATCGATGTTGCCTCCGCGAGTTATTTCACTTACGATTTGTTGAAAGTAAGAATCACAAATTTATATCTTTGCCATTGAATTTTCAATATTTTGAATTTAAATATTTTTTTTTGCACAAAAAACAGGATGGTCCTCCCAATCTTAAAGGCAAAACTGCTTGTGGAGTCTGGTTTAAAATACAGTATCCCGTTATATTCGGTAAAGCGGGAATATTCCTTGTAGCAAATGTAAGTGGGTTTACTATGATTTACGTAAATTTTAATTGGTGATTTATTTAAGTTTCATTAATTTTATGAGTAAAAGAATATATGAAATTGGCACGTGATGCAAAACAATACACAAATTCTCTTTATTTCAGATCATATTCATAATAGTAGTGGCCCTGAGGAGAAGATCCATTGATACGTTTAAGAAATCTAGTGATGTAAGTATAAATTTATTTTATATTATTTAGGATTACATTATAATGAAATAGAAAAGTTAAGTATTTATAAATCTTTAATAGCATTGTGACGTACAACAGTCATTAATTCATTTTATTGATAATTAATTCTTGAAAGAAAATTGGCAGAGTTAATATGCCATTGCTAATTTTCACTTGGCATTGCTGGTTCCTCAATAGGGTCAATTTTTTCAGGTATAATCTGGTTGTTACATAATTATAAAACATTTGTGTTATGTAGATCTTCAACATCTCTTTCGATAATATACAGAATTGGTGTTAGTTACAATAATTTAGTATGGTGCAATAGTATCAATTGTATCAAAAGACGTCTTGGACGACTACAAAATGAACATTATATAAGATATAATAATAAATACAGACATCGAGAGAAACAAACACTACACTTTCAGGGACGTAAACAATATCGATGCGCTGGTTAGCGGATATTCTATGCACTAACAGCAACATCACTGAAATTCTTGTCCATAGATGATGAAACAAGCGGATTTGTCTGTTGTTTCTAAAATTCGTTATATTGGGGCCTATAAAATTGGAATCAGCAATATTACTTTCTTCGATTGGATGATCATAATTGAAGTTCTACTATTCAACGTTGTCTGCAGAGATGTTTAGCAGTCCAAATACATCTAAAGCTGGTATGGTTACATTTCAGGACATGCGGAAAACATTCCCGTAAAATTTTTTTTACCGAAACTCATCATTATGGCACTTTCGGCGCTGCAAGCAATACAAGAGCAGTTTCTTTTGATAACCACACGACTGCGATCAAAGTCTGGCATAAAAGTGGCCACAATTGTTGAATTTCAGTCTTACCAGCTGTGATGCCAATCACCATGTTGTATGCCGCTTTCTTGTGGAACTGTTTTATAAAAACAGTAGCAATGCTGCGGCCATACTTCAGGAATTTCGCCATCAGAAAATTTTATGCTGATGACCGTTGAATTTTCTGGAGTATGATCAATCGATTCGAGGAAACTACGTCTGGGAGTTCAACCCACCTCAGAACGCAAACCGTTAAAGATGTCATTACAGCTGTTGTTGAACACTCAATAAATAACAGGTTGGAGTCAGGTGGTAGAGTATCCTATCTTATGGCAGTGTGGAAGCTAATGAGAAAGTCAATTCATTGTTATCTTATATAAGATCAGTTGCAACCAGCAATTACTTTCCGTTGACAGAGAAAATTCGACCGACCTTTGTATTGACAGAATTTTCAGTGTCTTGTCCTTGGAAAATGCTGTAGAGCGACGAGCAGATTTTCAAATTAGTAAACGGTGAACTGTAACTGTCGCAATTATGCCAAGGGAAACATTTATGTTTTCCAGCAGATTCATCTGTATTTGCCCAAAGTTACAATCAAGTATGTATTCACAGCTTCATTGAACTATTCTCCGAATAAGCTAGTCCCAAGAGGCCTGTGATACACTGTGACAAGAGACACCGACGTACTCAACAGTTGTCGAATTCCAACTGCAACAATGACAACACAGTGATTTGCAAAATGGAGAAACTACTTCCACACATCGAATGAGGCATACAGCACTTTCTACAACAATTCATAGATAAATGAATGCTTTGTGGTGCATTTCTCGTTCTTTGCATCTAAATCTTATAATTATAAGATTTAGATGCGGCTTTGCTGTGGCTTAAAAAATATGATTCATCAAAGACATGTTGCAAATTTGGCAACCGTGAAAGACAATGTCATATATGCGAGAAGTATCATAATGGTTGACTATTGACCACGCTGTTCATTATCTTCAAGTTTTACATCTATAGAATACGACCATATTAAGCAGTATCCCCTGCATTGCTATGGTTTCTATAAAATATGAATGTTTTGTACTGTACTGTACATATATAATGTATGTCACTTGCGGTGCCAAAATGTTTCAAATGTCACCATACCAAGTTTGGTTGCATTTGGACTTCAAATATCTCTTTAGACAGATCTGAATAAGTGTAATTTAATTACAGTACAGTGTCCAACACATTTAACAATTTCCAAATTCTTTATTTTTCGAATATAATTTATATATTTATTTTATTTTGCAGTTTTGGGGTACAAGTTACTCTCTGGAGCAATTAACAAGATGCTGCATTTACGAAGAACCAAGCGTAATTAATCCAGCCGTGTCCTTACAAAATTACCATAGGAGTATTTGCGAGTATCCACAAAACGCAAATGGTGGATTTTACAAGAGGGCCGAAAACATTTATGTTGACACAAATGAAATGAATTTATCTAAAAACAAAACTACAAATTGAAACGGGAGAATGCAATGGAACAATTATTGACATTTACACTGTGTTAATATTTATGTAAAATTAAACAGGTCAATCACTAATCCGACATTAATTTCGGCTAAGGTAATTTCAAATTTTTCAAGTCGCCCTCACCAACGAGCCTCTATTGTTGCAGTATTCAGTGTTGCCAGATGTACGATAATCTAACAAGAATTTTCAATTCATGTTTATTTTCTAATTAACGTGTTATACCGTTTTACAGAGTATTTTGAAGATAGGTTGAGATAGAATTCCAACTGTTAACTAATCTATTAGTAATCCGGAAATTACTATCCGGCATTTTACAAATTACAATAATGTCGGATTAGCCATGTCTAATCTGTATTATATTTGGTATTTGCTCTATGTGAACAAATTATATTGTGTATAAAAACATTGAGAAAAGAGAACATTTAAAAAATTAATTATCATTCAGATATATACCTATTAAAATACTTAATTATAGAAAAAACGAAACATATTATGTAATAATTTTATCCAATATTATAAAAATAAAATTTTTATTTAAACAAATACTGTTGATTATCAGATTTGTATTTGTTATTTTTAAAATAATTATTTTGTACTGACAACTTGCTACACTATATTTTCAGCATGGACATCCATAGAAAATTTATCAAGAAAACAAGGCTTAGAAACAAATAATTACATCGATTAATTTTTATTTAAATATCGAATTTTAGGAATGAATTATTCATAAGTAGATTACAGAATAGGGTAGTGCATAATACAAAAAAAAAAACAAACGAAGCGTCACATTATCGAAAGTGTAACGTCTGATCACTAAGCACATTAACTTCACCACTATAATTTCTAAAACTTTTTAACTCGATTGCAAAAACAAACAAAAATCCATGATTGCGCCGATCAATAAAACCCATGTTTTTCAAAATGTATTCTATGATTCCATATCTGTAAGATAATAAATTTCTATTAATAAAAATAATAAAATATTTAAAATAAAAACCAAAATTTTCGTTTTACATACTAAATTTTTCTTATAATATTATACATAAATTAAAATGAAATCATAACTTTATATAATGTTCTAATTTTTTGACAAATTTTTTAAAAATTTCTGAACATATATGACTGTCTCTGTTCAATTTCACGAAAAAAAATTTCGAATAAAAAATTTCCGTTTTTTGACAAATTTTTTAAAAATTTCTGAACATATATGACTGTCTCTGTTCAATTTCACGAAAAAAAATTTCGAATCAAAAATTTCCGTTTTTTGACAAATTTTTTAAAAATTTCTGAACATATATGACTGTCTCTGTTCAATTTCACGAAAAAAAATTTCGAATCAAAAATTTCCGTTTTTTGACAAATTTTTTAAAAATTTCTGAACATAT